AAACAAAAGGTTTGGACTGTCCTAGTCAGTAGTGTAATGACAAAACTCTCTGCATGGGTAGCACTATGGTATGCTGAGGTTTGGAGTGTAATCACCTTTTTTATGACCATAATATCTGTAATGCCACTTGGGAAAATATTGACCTTGATTTATTCCTTCCTGAGTAGTGTGATGTTAAAAAACAAATGACATGAAAGAAACAATACAATGGACGTGACCTCAATGTTTTTCATTGTATTTCTGTTCCCTCCTCTCCTTCAACACTGGGGATGCAGTAAATGGGGGCCGGTTAAAGGAGTGGGACTCACAGAAAGATGGTGCCAGAAAGCAGAGGGAGTATTCAAATGATTCTTCACAGTTTTGAGAGCTCAGAAATGCTGCAGCAGTCCAGAACATTCGCTCCGATAAAATCTCACTTATTAAAAAGCACAATTAACGATTATTTTTCCAAAGCAGAGCAGCATTGCGTCTACTGTATCAGGAGCTTAAAAATGCTTGTTTGTGTGTGTGTTTGTGTGTGTGTGTTTGCGCGCGCCAGGCATTGTGCAGCCGCCGCAGCCTCTCGGGTTACTGAGGAATGCATTTGAAGTCAATCACAATGAAGCTCTCTATCTGCCCAGCTAGCCCTGAAGGGGATATCTGAACTGAACCGGTCCAGTAAGAAAATCAACCCAAAAAAGAAAATCATCTTTGGGTTACACACATCTACCACAAGCTGCGTGCGTACATGTGTGTGTGTGTGTGTGTGTGTGTGTGTGTGTGTGTGTGTGTGTGTGTGTGTGTGTGTGTGTGAAACCTGGTTTGGTGAATTGGTGTGTCTATATAACTACCTCTGCCTCCTATTGTTATCTGACTTCCTGCATCTTAGTGTTAGCTGAGCTGCATACACCCATTGTTTCTACAGATAAAACACACACCGCGGTCTTTATTTCTCCCACACTCAGGCTGGTAATTGTCATATAACCACTCACACACACACACCCTCTCATTGTCAGGTTGCCATTTTAATATCATACAGTCACACACTTGTAATTTTGAATTTCTTCACGGTGATCCTAAATTAAAATATGGAATGATTCGGCTCCTGTGGAATGTTAATATCTGCAAAACCACAGCATTGTCAGCACAGGTATAAAAATCAAAGTTCTTGTAGCTGTAAAACGAGCTCACACACACACACACACTGACAGAGTGGCTATAGTGCACAGGATGAAATGAATAGTGCAATGCATGATGTCAGCTTTAGATCAGGTTTCTACCTGAGTCACCGCAAATGTTGCAACCGCCTCAGAGGACACGCCTGTGTTGACTTTGTCACAACATGACATTACTCCAACAAACACAGATTATTTTTCTGCTTCTGTTTTTTTTTTGTTTTGTCCTTCAATTTTATGTTTCTCCATCTCCTTTTACAAAAGTATACATAATTATATATATATATAAACCCCAACGCTCCCAGATTGTTTTAAAATGACTCCAACTGGCACCGCATGTCTTACAATGGCAGTGCTTCATACGCTGCCAAAAACCAGGATTGCATTCAATCCGCAGATCCAGAGGAATATGGCTGTCATCTTACAGTTTCCTTTTATAACAAATGGGAACAAAATGCAGTGGTGTAGGGAAATTGAGGGCAACATACAGACGATTTTGGCCCCGGGTTATGCGTGCGGTGGAAGAGAGCTCGTTGTGTTTCGTCGTGGTTTGTTAGCTATGTGACGCAGGCAGAAAGTACAGCTGTTTATAGCTTCTGAAACGGAGACAAAATGCAGAGCCGGCCCGATTCGACTCCCCCAAAATCACTTAAAACACACACAAACACAGGTCTAAGGGGCATGTGTGTGTGTGCAACACAGGCACCACAAAGGAAACCTGTGATTATATCAATTCAGACACAAACACACACACACACACACACTCTAATTACATGCAGTGACGCACTACTGCCCGCCATAGCGTGAATTCACACTTATAATATCTTCTCATAAATTAAATATGTCGAGACAGAGAGGGTGATTACATATTACTGTTAAAGGTAGGGTAAACATAGCCTCTGCAGTTGCAGTATGTCCTGGAGGTTGTTGTGTGTGTATAGGGGACTTGAGGGGCCCCTGGGGTGGGCTTCGGGGTGGGGTGTGTGTGTGTTTAGTTAAGTATGTGTGTGTGTTTTTTGGGGTCACGCCGAACTTAGGGGGGCTAGCCTCGAGATAAGATATGTGAATTTAAGATGAAAAGAAAATGGGGCAAGGATGGAGATATACTGGCACAGAGTTTGTGGATCCAGAGGGGGGAGACGGAGGGAGGCAGAGTGGGAGGGACAGATAGCGAGGGGGGAGCTGGAGGAGCAGACTGTTTTGGTGTTGGTTTTTAGGGTTGTTTATTTGACGTTACATAACACCTTTGCTTCTGTAGCTGGAGCTCTTATATGTGTGATAGGGTGAGTGCTGGTGTGTGTGTGTGTGTGTCTGGTAGCTTCTCACAAGAAGATGGGATTTTCTGTGAAAGGCAAAGGTTGCCCATAGCAACGGCCTTCATTGTAAAACTGATCCTTGGAATCCAACACACACACACACACACATTCGCACCATACTTGCACTGAAACGTCTTTTTAGTACTTTTCAGCACTTCCTGGGTTCGAGATCACCAGGCCTTCACACACACTCTCTCACACACACACACACACACACACACACTGTTTCACATACACATATATCCGAAGCGTGACACACGCACACTCCCATCCTTCCGCTTCGTGAAGCCCGTATCCTCCGTGTGTCGAGGCTCCAAACAACTTCAAGTCAATTCCATTTTCATGAGGTACATATAGCGTTTGAACTCCACCTCACGCTGAGATGTGATGGATTGAGATGCTCGGGTTTCTAGATTCCATTATGCTTTTATTGGCTTTTAAAGGCATCAGGTTTCCTCTGTCTGGAGCCGGGGAGGAGCCTCGGCCTCTGTGTGTGCACAATTAGCATCACAGAGGCTGGTAAAGACAGAGCTCTGCAAGGCCTCAGGATGGGCTTAAGATTGCTGAGGAGATAAGTTTGTTTTGGTCACTTTTGGACACCTGGAGACAAACTGAGCCTGTTGTTCTTGGCATCGCGACATTGTGCTACTTAGCTGTTACGTGAGCTGAATCTGGCCACAAAATGCAGTGATGGAAGAAGTATTCAGCTCCGTTAATTAAATAAAAGTAGCAATACCACACTGTAAAAATGCATTGCAAGTTACAAGTATAAATTATTGTTGTGATATTACTTAACGGACTTCTTGTATGTAGAAAGAGGTCGCTCGTAGTGATGAAGTATCAAAGTAGAATAACTAATTACACAGAATGACACCTTTCAAAGTGTCATGTTATTTTATAGTATAATACTGAGTTATGATTACTAATGCCATAATATGTCCAAACAAAAAACTGTTTATTGTTGAAAACGTTTACTTTGTTTACTGTTTGGTAGTTTAATCTGTAACAATGCTTCATATTCTGTATATTCTGTATGTAAAGCCTTATTTGCAACGTAACCAGGAACCAGATAAATGTACTAGAGTAAAATAAAAGGGAAATACAGTAGTTCTACTTGAGTAAATGTACTTAAATACATTCTACCAATGACAAAATATAAGTAGAAAAAACATTGAACATATTGATAGAGATCAAAAGAGAGACAGTGCATTTCAAAATGAGTTTCTACACGGAATATATTTGCCTGCAAATACTTGCAGGCAAAGTACAGTAGCCGTACTTGTGTCTTGAAACACAGTGTGGTATGTGTAGTATGAAACGTATCTTTGTGCAGCAGTACGGGCGGTGTCCCGTCGTGTGTTAATTGACCCTTTGTGATGGGTGAGTGCTAACGCTTGTGTTTAAGCATCGCAGGGACAGACGAATTGATGTCAAGAGAAAGATGAAAGAGATGAGTGAAGAGAAACGAGGGATCAGCCTCAAAGTGACCGGAGGCTGAGGTCACTCACTTCAGAGGTTCAACCTCCCCAAACGATCAACGACTAATCTCTCGTACCTGACCCTGACAGAGGTTGCACTTTTCCCCTCACATATGAAAATATATCTGGATTGAGGTGCAGTGATGAGCAGGGAGGAGGCTGTGAAATGATCCACGGGAGACAGTTTTACAGTACAGCTGTAAAACTGTAGAGCAGTAGTTATTCAAATGAGATGGTGAATTTATCCCATTCAATGTCCACACGAGTTACTGAAATGATGTACCAACAACAATATTGATCATAAATTATTCAGACACTTCTAGTAAAAACCAAGAGGAGGACAGACAAAATGTCTTCAAAACGTGCCGTACAAACCAATGGGTGACGTCAAGAGACCATGTCCACTTCTAATACACAGCCTCACAGAGCTGCTGAAGTCTTATTCACTGTTTTCTGACATTTTATAGATCAACAATTTAGTGCAATTAGTTGATTGATTAGCTGATTGAACAGTCTCTTGTTCAAGCTTTTCAAAGGTGTGGATTTGGTGCTTTTCTCTGTTTTATATCAACAGAAAATGAATATCTTTGGGTTTCATACTGTTGGTTGGACAAAATACGACATTTGGCTTTGGGAATATGAACGGAGCATTCTTCACTGTTTTCTAACATTTTTTTCTAACATATATCGAACAATTAATAAAATTGTGAGTATACCAGCCTCAGTTCAAAAGCTAAATGCTTCTCCATACTCTGCTACTTTACAGGCTGAGCATCACTTGTAACTGGCATGTAAGCAGAGACTGAATGAAACCCCTCTCTCCTTAAAAGCTTTGATGTTCCTCTGCCGAAATCCCAGCTTTAGATGAACTCATTAAATATGCTCCTCAATGGAGCCTCAGACGGACAGATGTTACTCTGTCCACCATAATGCTCCCTGCACCTCCTGCGTGTGTGCGTGCACGTAATCTGCCAAAGTGGTTTCTTTATTTAAACAAAATGACAAACAGCCCAGTCATTCATGGTGAATAACTCTCATCTCTTTCATCTCTGTGTTTCTCCCAGGGACAGACTTGGTCCCCGTCTATCGATGACGAAGGCTCGACGAGAGACGAGTTCTATGACGATGAGGACCTCTACTCGGGCTCCGGCTCTGGCTGTAAGTATCTGTGTGTGTGTGTGTGTGTGTGTGTGAGGTTACACACTCTTTCAAACCTCGACAGCTGCTGGGTTTCAATCTGCTTACCCTGAAGTCCCCACCCCCCACACCCTCTCCGTGTCCTCTAGTTATGGTCGCTCTGGTCACCAGACTCGCATGCATGGAGGCCACGCACACAGAGGCCATGCACACATATGGCTCAACGGACAGGTTTTGATACAGATTTATTGCACCTTTAAACACATACACACCCTTACAAAGAAACAGCAACCCGGGCTCAAATTCCCCTACATCTTATTTGCTCTAATCAGATTACAGTCCACACAGATTAGGCCGTTGTGTGCACCTATCTGCAAGCGTATGTCTGCATTTGAGTGAGCTGGCTGTCTGCGTGTGTAGGAATTACCTACTTAACGTAAATCACATTGGTGTAATCTGATTTTCTGATCTGGCAGTTGAATCCTGAGCATGACTCATTGAGGTCTGCCTTCGGTTCAGTCTAGTGGCGAGCGCGCTCAAAATAAACTAGAAAAATGCAATCAGTAGAGAGAGATCTATGCCAGCTGTGTCTGCTACAACTACTGCTGTAATGTTTGATTGAATGAATAAAAAACACTGTTAACCCCCTTATAGACCTCAAGCCTATCTGATGTTTTTCACTCATTTTAATCTATGCAGCTGTTTGTACCGGCTCCAAACTGTTAGCTGTATTAGCTGTATTAGCCCTGTTAGCGCTGTTAGCCTTACACATTGAAGAACTCCCACCAGCTGCTAACATCTAACTAACTCCGTTGTAGTCGGCGCCCGGTTCAGTTTGTCATTTGCTAAGCAATAGTTATATCTACATATGTTCATGGATGAAATTGTTTTACCTCGGCATGCAAGTCAAGAGAGGAAGAATTCGTAGTCCGTAGATGAAAAAAATAGTGCAAACTGAAGCAGTTGTTGTTCACAGCCCCTACCAGCAAGTTAAGAGGAGCGAAGAGTCAGTAGACAATAATGGTATTAAACAGTCAATAAAAAAGGTTTTCAAAAAGTATGAATCGCTGCAACTACGAGACGCCTTTAGCATACATTAATAAAGAAGCACAAACAAATAATAGGCTGATGGGTCCAGGAGATTAGCCGTGGACAGACAGACACACACACACACTAAAGCACTCATGCACACACACGACCTAATACCCAATCTCCTGGAGAAGATAATAATTACAATTGAGAGCAGGAGAGTGCAGCAGAGGCACCCCCTGTGGTTGAAGCTGCTCAGCAAATTGCTTTATCTCCGAAGCTCATTTACAACAGACAGATGTGCGTTCTGTGTCACCGCTGCGTCAGAATGTGGCATTTTGAGGCGCCTGATAAGTTTAACAGAAGCTGCATTGTTCGAGTCCATATTTCGATATCCTCTCTGGCTCCTCTGTCAGCCTTCATGTCTTTGTGCCTGTAAATTCAATTTGTTTCTCTTTCAACCTAAGGAGCTTCCCTGCTATAATAAAATGAAAGGTGGTATAATACTATTATGAGATTTAAGAAGGAAAAGGATTAGTCTGCGCCATCGTCAACACCTTCTCTCTCCTCTCCTCTCCTCTTCTCTTCTTTCAGGTCATTTTTAAAAAAATCCATGCTCTAAAATGTCAAAAGAAAAGGAAAACTGTATTTTTTTTCTCACTTATTCAGTCAGCCCTCAACAAAACGGCTCATCACAGCGAACATCTGGTGAGGAGAGGAGAGGACAGACAGCCTTGTCTCAGTTGGTTAAACCTCCGTTCTGCGCTCCATGTTTTAATACATTTACCGTAGTTGTCGTCATTTACATATTCTTGTGTTTGTGTTGACAGATAGCTAAACGAGTAGAAAATAGCAATTTGATTGCGACCGTGATTGCTGCCCTGAGTTGTCAATAAAATCAAGACAGTACTTTATGATCCTAAAGTCATTTGACAAAACAAACAGAGCTGCGCTGTGTGATCGGGTGTATGGATGAGAGGGGACAGACAGTTGTCTTTTTAAAGGAGCACCGCACTGATTTTACACGTAAAGCTCAGTTTACTACTCATGGAGACTCAGTTTTGTATAATTTCTTCAGTAGATCTGTAGGAGCAATGCCAACAAAGACCTCAAGGAATGTAGAGTTGGACATTACCAGCGTTAAGAAGCGTCTTACTAACCAGGGAGGCTCTCGCGTAAAGACAATATCTAGTTTCCAGCATTTTTGTAAATTGTCTAATACGATCATTAAAAGTCAGGATATCTTGGCCTCTTTACAGATTCTGACCATTCTTTTTTTTTTGCCTGTGCATTGTGAGTCCTCCAACTAAGAGCAAAGGGCCTTTTTCACAGCAGCCATTTGATTTTGACATGTCATAGCAGGGTAAACACAAGTGTATTTCATCAAATTAATTATGGTCCCATTCTATTTAGTTTTCCCCACAGTGAAATGAAACAAGAAGTGCCCAAGGCCCACCGTGCAATGGGTCACATTTTATAGATCCCAAAAATATCACGCAACACTACACCTGTTATTGATGATACAAAGTGAAGGTTACTTATAAGTGACTGAAATCTCAATTTATAGCTCCGCAGAGAATAAATTAGTGAGTGTTTGTTATGCAGTGAGTAGTGAATGAGTGTCAGAGGGATTGATTTCAAACACAGCCGTAGTCTCAGTTTCTGATTTACTGTTTGTGTGAGTGTGTGGGTGCGTTGAGTAATAAAGGGGATGTGTGAACGAGTGAGACATTTTTTTTTACTCCCCTGCTGGTTGTTTTTTAATTGAGTCATTTTTAAATTAAAAATCCTCTCTTCCCAGTTCCTGGGATCGGTGTGAGGCCGACATCGGCGGGTGTGTCCTTCACCACAGAAGAGCCCCTCCTCCTCTCCACCACGCAGGCCACTGGCCCCGCCCCCTCCGCCTCACCTGCAGCCGAGCCGAGCCCCAAACCGGAGGAATCCACCGCCACCCCGCTGCCCACCGAGGCCGATGGAGAGAGTGGTGTATTCTGGGAAAGAGAGAGGGAGCTGGAGAAGGAGAGCGAGAGGGAGGGAGAGAAGGAGCAAGAGAGGCAGAGGGAACTGGAGAACGAGAGAGAGAGGGAGAAACAGTTGGAGAGGGAGAGAGAGAGGGAAAGAGAGAGGGAGCGGGTCCGAGAGATGGAGAGAGAGAAGGAGAAGGAGAGAGAGCGTGAGCGAGAGAAGGAACGTGAGAGAGAGCGAGAGAAAGAGAGAGAGAGGCAGAAAGAGCGTGAGCTTGAACGAGAGAAAGAGCTGGAGCGCATCAGGGCCGCCGCCGCCCAGACCACCGTCGCCCCACGATCCCCCGCAGCCATCCCAGTGGTGACCACCAACCTGGCAACCAGCCCTGCAGAAAGTGCGGCGCCCTCTGCCAGTTCGGACGACCTGAGCACCACAGAAGAAGAAGAGGACATCTACCTGTCACCTGAACCCTCAGCCTTTTTCCCAGGCTTTGACATGGAAACCACCACAGAGGAAGACATGTCCACTACAGCAGAGATCACCCCCGGGCCCACGACAGCCGCACCTAGCACCACCGCCGCCGCCACCACTGACAAGACCAGGTTCCCCTTCAGGCCCAGGGTTCCCATGACCACAGCCACTCAGGCGGTGCCAACAGAGAGAACGAGCCGTCCACAGCAGCCTTCAACTACACAGGTGAGACTGACAGAGTAGATGTTAATATAGATTAGGAGCAGTGTCTATATTTGGAGTCTCATCACCCACCACAAGAAAACACCGAACTCAACAGCAGAGAGCAGAGAGCATTTTTCATGTTGTAAACAAATCCAATAAAAAAGAGCAAAACCAATGACGCACAAGTCAGCTTTATACTTTCACTACTGATGATTGTAACGATGATTTAAATCAGCAACTATTTGATCAAAGAATAAGTGAATAAGGCCACAATTATGACCACGGACTCGCTCACTAGCTCTGTACTAATGCGCTCATTCCGGTCGGTGCCAATAAACTGTTCAGGTTTGATACCAAACACTTCTGACTGCCTCTTTAACAGCGACAGCTTCATTATTTACAGAGGGTAGTTTCTCCGATTGCCGTGCTTCTGTTTATTTGCAGCCGTCCTGCATTGAAGCTTGAGGCATTTACATTTGTTTGGTTTCCCACATTGTAATTAGGCTGCCAGATTTTATGAAGTGTGTATACCCGTTGGACAGTATGAAACTTTCCACCAACCAGAACACACAGAGGCTCATTGTTTCCAAGGAGAACATACGTATGCCATGGAAATGTTCTGTGTTGGTTTGGATACGTTTCAGAGTAGTAGCGCCGTGGAACAAATGTGATTACATCAAATGTAGATTTCCTGTCATTAGTCTCACTTTTCTCTCTTTGTCTCAGGAGGGAAACAACGAGGCGGGTGCTGCGGGGCCGAGTGGAGACTTCGAGATCCGCGATGATCGCCGCAATGATCTCGGTCGAGGTATAATGCCGGTGGATCCCGATCTGATCGGCAACACGGTGGACGCAGGAAGCTCTGCCGCCCAGCTGCCACAGAAGAACATCCTGGAGAGAAAAGAGGTCTTGATAGGTAAGAACATCTGTCAATGAAGTTAATACTCATGATGTTTTTTGTCCAAATATTTGTCATGCAGCTCTGTGTCTGTCAAATGAACCACCTGGTAGCCACCTCTTAGATCAACAGATTACGTTTTCCCCGTTGCCTCCTGAGGTCTTTCCCTGCTGTCTGGGAGCTGCTAAGATAAACTGGCTTCACCTCGCGTCCACGTAGTGCAGATTCATCACGATAACTGAATGTGCTACTTAGCCCTGTTTGACCCGTTGAGAACTTGGCTTATCCAACCCCTCCTTTTCCCTTCTTTTTCCCATCATTTTCCCTCTGGGTTAATCGAATTTCTTTTCAAGTGCCCCCCTCTCCTCTCCCCAAAGAGCTGGTGTAGAAAGTGAGAGACCAGCCAACTTGCCTGACCTGACTGGCTCTCTGTTTCTCCTTCAGCTATTCTGATTGGTGGACTGCTGGCGGTGATTTTCGCTGATTTCCTGGTCATCGGTAAAGAGCAGGAGGCAACAGACTTTAGACTAGACTGTCTGTATGATAGAACCATGTCAGACTCATACATTCATGTATAGTGCTGTACAGGTATAGACACTGTATTCACTTTTATCTGTGGGAGTAACACGTTAAAGAACACGAGATAAACAGGGGATTGGCAGGTATTTACCACCCTTTCACACTGATTCAATCTACTTTATGGCAAAGTTTGTCAGGTCATGAAGGTAAAATAGAAATTCAGTATTGTTTTACATTTTTAGAAATAAAACAATAATATTTCCCTTTCAATCAGTCTTACTTTTGCCCAAGCCAAATATTTCGGATTAAATGGTACTTTGATTGCTGTTTCCCTCATATTGTTTTTCACCAAAAACTATTGCTATTCTGCCTTTCGCCCTCCCCAAATCTATGCAATGTTTCACACAACTGTGGCGGGTGCGTCATTATTTTAACAAGACTAAATCTAACAAGAGTGTGAAGTTTGCATGTTCTCCCTGTGCTATCTGGGGTGTCTCTGGGTTCCTCTCACAGTCTAAAGACATACAGGTTATTTGTTGACTCTAAATTGCCTGTTAGTGTGAATGGGTACAGCCCTGTGATTTGGTGGCGACCTGTCCCGGGTGTACTTCGCCTATGGCTCCAGCCTCTGTGCGATCTTGTAAAGGAAAAGCGGTTACAGATAATGGATGGATAGAAATCTATACAGCCCTGCTACAGGGTATTATGGATTTACAGACAAGCAGTAACAAAACAAATGGTGCACTTGAAAGTGTGCAATTCATATTTGTCATGTCCAATATCACCATTGTCTTCCACACTAAAATCAGGGATTGTAAAAGTAGATATTTATGCACAGTGTCACAAAAAGTCTTCGCTATCTGATGAAGAAAATCTGACTAATTTGATTAGATTTGATAACAAGAGATATTGTGAAAAGTCAAGAGTACTTTTGCAGTGACAGTGCATGATGAAAAGTTACGTTATTTTAAATAGCCCAGCCTGTGTACTCTGATGTTGGCAGAAATGGAATAAACAAAGTAAACACCTCCCACACAATGAATAGAAACAAAGTGTTCCTCAAGCCTTTTGGAAAATAAACAGTTTGTTCTCCGTTCTGGCATTAAGACCGATAAGTTTAACGAGGGAAAGTTTTTTTTTTTTTTTTTTTTTCTCCCCATTTGATGATCACACAATCTGTCGCATGCAGCAAGAGTTCATTAGCGATGTGTGCAGGAGAAGGTGGTCAAATGCAGCGGCTGCAGTTCGGTCACACCGGCCCCACCGTGCTAAACTACCATGTAGCACTGCAGGCCTGCAATTTAGCACAAAGCTGTTGGCAACTCGGAATGTACGTTGGCACATTCAGGCTCATCAGTCTCCACTGAGCAGCTAGGTGATAGTGACGCTGTGGTAGTTTTGCTCTGCCTTCAGGCTAGGAGTGTTTGATGCAGTAGTGATGTAGTCTGCTGCAGAATGTGGCTCTCATGATATTTCAGTGTTTGTTGGACTGTTTATAGGATCTGTAATGTTCTGGAAGGTTTTTAAGATATCCATCCTCTCTTTCTTCCTTCTTCCTTCAGCGGTGATAGTAGGAGGAGTAGTGGGCGCCTTGTTTGCGGCCTTCCTAGTGATGCTGCTGGTGTACAGGATGAAGAAGAAGGACGAGGGAAGCTACACACTGGAGGAACCCAAACAGGCCACCGTCACCTACCAGAAACCGGACAAGCAGGAGGAGTTTTACGCATAACACTCAGAGAGACTGCCAGAGAGACGAGGGAGAGAGAAAGAGCGAGAGAGAGAAGAGAGAAAGATACTCTAAGCCCCCGTACTCCTCGCCCTCCTCCTCCTCCTGTTCTTCGTCGCCTCCCCCCTTGTCTGCTCGCCTCTCCTCATCCCTCTCTCCTCTCGTCTCCAAAACACTCGAGAGCGCCTCTCTCTCTGCGGACTTGGAACTTTCTTTTCAATGAAAACGAAAAAGAGGAAAAAAAAAAAATATCAAAATATATTCTGAAAAAATAACACATACACATGAGATGTTTTTAAAGTAAATGTTGTTATTACTATTCTACAGATTCTCTTGTTGTGTATGTAATGATATGATTATTTTGTAAGAAAAACAAAACAAAACACAAGCTCTTAATCTGTGTTTTCCAGCACAAAGTTCCTCCTCTGTTTTTTTTATTCAGCGATTGAAAAAGGCTAAAGCGAAAAGGGAGAGGAGAGGGGCGAGGCGAGCAGAGCGAGACACAAAAGAAAAAGAGAGCGATGGGCCTCGACTCTGCCCCTCACCCCCCAAAAACACACAGAGCGTCTGGTTGGCCGCACAGAGCCCAGGGTCAAAGGTGAGAGGAAAGGTCTCTTTTGTGCCTCCCATCCCTATGGTGCTCAAAGACGCATACGCACATCCATACAGCCACATAAACACACGCTTACATGCACATGCATACACACACACTTGTATCTGCTTGAAGGTGGCTCGGACCTTTCTCTCTGTGCTCGGCCAACCAGAAAACAGTGCTCGACCCTCGGTGTGTTTCACAACGTCGAGGAGCCGCTGTGAAAACATTGGCTGGTTAGAGGTTTGCTTACGCGGCCAATCTGCTCCTCTAAGCTGTACAAAGACTAGTTACGGATAGTAATAACAACCAATAATATATCAATGTTTTGGGCTGGATGGTGAATAATAATAATGATACCGTAATAATAATAATAATGATTATAATACTTAAACAGGAGGATGTGTATTTAGCAGTTTAAAAAAAGTTTATATGTAAATATCAGCATATCCTTTCTGGCATCACTAATCATCTGCATGATCATGAAGAGTTTTTATTCATCACATCCGTCATCACTTTAGATGAGCTGTGCTCTCGTCAGCCACACGCACACACACACATACACACACACACAAGTGCAGATATATAACTTGCTGTGCATTTAGATCCACCACACAGACTTTAAGTATACCATTAATCATATCATTCAAACACATATCAAACCCATCCTCATCATCATCGTCATTGTGATAGTCATCACTTGTGATACGAGCGAGATCAGGTGGTTTCAATATGTTATTGATTAGTTATTGATCAGTTGCCGGTTGTTTTAGAGTTTGGTCTGTTTGTGTAAAAGCACAACGACGTGTCCAGTCATCACGTCATCCGATTAACCCCCCCCCCCCACCCCTACACGCACCTTTGGCATGCCTCACTTTCTTTTTCTTCCACCATTGGCTCTCTGTTTGGGGATGGGAGGGGCCTCTGGGAAGTAAGGGGGGCTTTAATGAAAAACCAGGAAGTGCAAATCCATCACAGGAAGTTGCTCCCAGATGTGCTAATTCAGTCAAAAATCTTTGATGAAGTCTTTTGTCAGTAAAGCTTTGGTTATGAGAAAAAACAGACTTTGAATTAGTGTTCATGGGGTCAACTTTAACCTGCTGTTGGGCTCTTTTTGGGGAGGGGACAATGGAGGACAGGGGTTTGGTTTGGGATGGGGAATGTCAGAAGGAAGGCTGTGCTTCTATCTAAGAGATTGTAACAATAACCACACCAGTGCGACTGGGCTAGTAGCTTCTATTATACTCAGTACTGTAGAACAAAAATGCATGGGAGTCAAAACTATACGAGTCTGGGTGTGTGTGGATGCCTGTGTGTGTGTGTGTGTGTGTGTGTTTTTGTGCGTTTGAAAGAAAAGAGGGGTGAGTTAAAGTTGGAATGTACTGTGGTCGAGTGTGTGTTTACCTACTCCAGCAGTTCTCACGCTCTTCCACAGACAGGTAACACACCTCCTCCACTCATGTGTGTGTATGTCGCCTGCCCCCTCGCCAGTGTGAGAATATATGTATGTGTGTGTCTACACCTCATCTTAATACGCCATGTGTGTGTATGCCTGAGTGCTTCACCTTGGTATTTCACAGCAGACTCTTGTGTACACTGACTGGCCTGTCGACGTGCTTGTGAGTGTGTCTGCGAGTGTTTCGTCTGTTCACTGCTGAATGAGGGGCAGCTGGTCCCTCACAGTGGCTTTCACACACACTGACTGTGTCTTTTCACTGTCCGACTGTCTGCCTGTCTGTCTCTCTGCCGCAGTACAGACGGGCAGACAACATGCCACTTTCTCACAGGCAGGAATGATCTTAACACGTACTGTCTTTTTTAAAGTGACTGTCAAAGTGTAAACATGTGTTTGTACCCATCTAAGCCTGCGTAGCCAAATAAGACGTGTGTGTGTGTGTGAGAGAGAGAGGGTGAATTTGTACGTGTGTGTGTGTGTGTGTGTGTGTGTGTGAAGCCCAACGGAGGCTACACTACTCTATGTTTGCTGTTCCCATTCCTGTTTTTATACATTTGCATTTTTTTAAGGCTGAGTTTCTGTCATTGGCTGAGTGAGCGAGAGGAGGCGGATCCTCCACGCCACCGCCCTGTCACTAATCTGCCACTCTGTTCCAAATAAAAAACCTGGTTGGGTAAATCTCTCCTCTCTTGTCTTTTTTTCAATGTCAGTGGATACATCAAGACACTGCTGTTAGGTGGACTTTGCTACCTCTGGAGAGAGCCAGACTAGCCGTTGCCTCTGGTTCCAGTCTTAATGCTAAGCTAAGCTGTGGCTGGTATCGATCTCGTCGTCTCCTGGCATTTTGTAAAATGTCAAACTATTCCTTTAAGTGCAGTGCACTCACCAGACAACACATTGCAGCTTCATTATTTGTCCGGAGATCTGGGCACCATGTGAGCTCAATATAAACTAAAATAATATTGACTTTGACACAGATCTAAAAGACAAGGCAACAATACCAGACCCACTTCAGTTGATATTGTACTGTAGTTGTGCTAATTCAGTTATAAATGCCCATTGAATTACCATAAACAATTAATGGGCAGGGAATTTGCTGGGAATTTATGGAGCCTCTAGGGGTCAAAGTAATCTGTCTTTGTTCACTAATATAATCATGACTTGTCCAGGGTGTACCCACCTCTCACTAAATGTCAACTGGGAGAGACTCCAGCCTCCTGTGACCGTGCTAAAGGATAAGCCTGTGTAGATTATAGGTGAGAAGACTGAAATGCTTTACATAATACATTACACAATTAATCACTAGAATTTTACATTTTAGGAAGCTGTTGTTGATCAGAGTGCCCTGTTGGCGTTATCCCCACATGTACCTGTAGTTGTCAGAAGAGCTGCTTATGTACTTTTCAACACAAGTACCATGCCTTCATCGATAGTACTCTCTCCAGCCCCAAATTAAATCTGCAGTCTGTAAAATGTCTACATAGATTGAAACACATTTTCCTACTAAACCTCTTTCGGTGTGTAGCCGTGCAGATTAGATACATTTTATTTGCCCAATATCTGTCTCTGACAATTGTATTACTTAAATGTGTTTCATGGCGCTCGCATCAATTATCAAATTTCAGAAATAGCAACTGTCCTGGATACTCTCCAGAATCCAGAATTCAGAGATTCCACATAACAAGTTCTCTTGGTATAAAGTACATAAATTCCAGTGAAACGTGTTATCAGTGTGGTCTTTGGATGAAACCAAACTAACCAGGACACGGAGTTGCTGGAGAGACACACTATTGTTGAATAATTTACGTGTGACATTTCAACGTTGTGAGCGTTACAAATGAAATTCCATTTGTTTTCACTCTGCTGGGGTGAAGGAATAATTCTCAGGGACAGAGATCTCAAAACAACAAACGGCTGTTCAAACTGACGATATGTTTTAGTAACATACAATCTAAAGAACTTGCATGCAGACAGGAAGTCTCCCTCTGGCCTTCATACCATTTCTGACCCAGTAACAGTACACACAACCCTGCATGCCATGCCGCTCTCTGACAGAGCTACTGTTTGTATATATACAGTATACGTATAAATATATATATACATATATATATATATATGTGTGTGTGTGTGTGTGTGTGTTTAGTTATATGTGTGATTACAGCCTCTTAACAGCCTATTTGCTGACCTCAGGAGGCCCTCATGGGAGAAACAGCCAGAGATGTTATTATTCTTAAGCCATCGCATAAAAATGTACTTATGAACTGATTAGATAAACTGTCTGTGGGGATTTGTGAGCACAAAGGAAAGAAAAACATTCTAAATGGGGCTTCAGTTTATATTCTCTGTATCAAACCAGATGAAACCAAGGTCACCTGATGTGGAGGAGTACCAGGGAGTCTTGCAGACGGCCTTTGCCCTGATCCAGAGAAGACAACAAGCTGTTCTGGCCTTGGGTAGAGGGCTGCTGAAATGGAAACGTGCCTCTCACAGGAGATGAGGGGGGTTTTATGTGAGAGCCCTTTTCTGTGTGGGAGGGGGAGAAATGGGGAGTTGAAGCTGAACAGTAGAGTTGGGATAGACAGAAGAAGATTCATGTGTCTGGGGTCCAGTTAGTACCCCATCTGGTGGGTAACTGCGGAACAACTGAAACAAGACAACCTGATTTTAACCTGAATAACAGATAAGATGTTATATGTGAATTTCATTTTACAAAGACTTTTTGTTTTGTTTTAGACCTTTGTGGAATAAGAAGGTCAGAGGATCATCATTACGTATCTTCAACTTACTCTGAGGGATAACACCATTATTAACTGGAAAGGAAAGAAGAAAAAACATGTTGTATTCACTCACTCCTTTCAGACTTTGAACTGGTCACAACTGGGTGCATCATTTTTAACTGACAGACAAGAGGTTCTAAGTGGACATTGTTTTGTGTGAAGGAGTCAAAAGGCCAAAAACCTTGCTACTCTTTAGTCTTACTTCAGTTTTCTGGTGTTTTTAGGACACAGAAATATCTGCAGCCCATCAGTGTTTAACATTTGAGTCGACCTGCACTGATAACCCAAAACACATCATAATGCGTTCAACATCTTTTATTAAACTACAGTATACTTTTAAAGTGATATTATTCACAGTGACATGATTATTTTTAATTGTGGGCTTCATTGATTTTTCATTTTTTATAGGCTATACCTAATCTTACAATAAATGACTGTGATAATAACAGTCAATTTCATCGAGATACTCCACACGAGCAGCAGAATTAACATCATTGGCACATTAAAGTGATACACTGGAAGTCACGAAGGGACCAGGGAAGGTCTCAGTTTTTAAGTTACGCTACAATCTGTTCACACATTGGTATTACAAATACCTTTAAGTAAAAGTACTATGTAAAATACTCCAGTACGAGTAAAAGTACTCCTGCAGAATAATTGCCCCTGTCTCAAATATAATCTTATGACATTATTAGATTTGTGATTCTGAAACTAATATCAATACACAAGCTGCATTTTACTGTTTTAGCTGGTCAGGATGGAGTTATAGTTTTAACTTGAACAACTTTATATTCAGTTTAATGTTTCATGCAGTGGTTCCCTGTGGGTCAGGACCCCTCCATGGAGTCACAAGATAAATCTGGTGGGTCGTGAGATGATTAACGGGTAAGAAAAACTTAAATTATGCTACACAATCTTTCCTTTGTAATGAAATATATTATATACGATTGAATCGCTTTACCTCTTTCAGCAGACCTCTGTCCTTGAACTGTTATTTGAATGAAACCATCTTTAGTGAGAAGCTTATAGAGGAAATCTTTCTTCTCATAGACATCTGAACTCACTGCTTTTTTCTAAGGCGTCCTATACGCCAAAAGAAGTAAAGAAAAATGTGTTTAATTTTGAATAATGTGTTGTATTTTATAAATTTATCAAATGTTTTTTTAAATGTAAAATCTTGATCTGAAAAGTAAAGCTATAGCAGCCAAGTAAATGTACCGGCGAAAATAGCATTACATGGAAATACTCAAGTAAAGTACCTCCAATTTGTCCTATAAAGTACTTGAGTAAACATATTTATCTGCTTTCCACCACTGACACATATATTCTTCTTGTCTCTATTTCAACACATTTTATTCAACAAATATATATTGTATATTAACTCGACATAAAGACTTAAATAAAATACAGAGTGATAGATGAAAGCCTTGTAAAGCTTACAGGTGTTTTATATTTTAACAGCTTCTTTTGTTGATATAATTAGCTCTAGATTAACTGGATTGCTGGACTAGATAATCAGCTCAGTAAACTTGTAAATGTTAATTTATTCATTGAAAATAACATTGATTTAGTAAAACAGAGAGTCAGACTTCCTGTCACATTCAGAGAATAACAATACACTTTTCTTACATTGTGTAAATTGAAGGTAAAACGTGACAGTTTGTAATCATACTATATCTCCCAGACTGTATGGATTTTGATTGGAGGTGTTCTGGTCACTGATTGGCTGTTTCAGTTTCACCCTTCACGCGATAATTCTCCGTCACACACTGCTGAGGGAGGGAGGCTAATCAATCAATCAACCTCATTAGCCTCCGGTCCAGGAGCAAATCGCTTCGTGACCCTGTGCTGCTTAATTGATTATTAGTGCAAGTTTATTGGTGTTGACTGTCGCAATGGAGGAAGACTGTGATGTGGCTGAAGATTTTGGTAAGGACATTTAGGCTGCATTTTAATTGTTTTATTGGTTTATTGGCTGCCTCGGGCCATTTCCCCCTGTAGACACGAGACTTTCTTTCCTGAACTTCTGTGACATTTTGCAAACTTTGAAAGACTTTAAAAAACTTCCTGGGTGTATTTAAAGCTGTAATCTTTCCTGTGAGGTGCAGCTCCCGTTGCTGCTCAAGTCCACTGAGACAATTTAAGAATTTAAATCTCTGCTATTAACATTCACGACCCGGTGTTTGTAGACGGGGACAGGTTAGCTAGTTTAGCTGCAGCTAGCCGCTCAGAGTTAATTAGCGGTCAGGTGAGGTGGCTCGAGGCGCTGCATAGCTGGGAAACTAATTAAGTCACTGCAGGCTGCAGCTCCTCGCGAGGATTACGTGTATCAGCTTTATTGAACCTGCAGGTCACCTCATGAAATATGAAAGATATAACTCCAACATTTTACGTAATTTCTTACTCTGTAGGCACTGTTTTTTCAAATGGAATAATCTACATGCATGTAGCTTCAGCTAAATTCACTGATACAAAGTCAAATAAAATGTTTCTTTATTAGCTGTTATTAAAAAGCTGCAAACATGGCCAAAGACAGCATTTTAGATAAACAGGTGATGAGCTCATGTCTTCTCAAACACATGCCCCATGAAGTCTCTAAAGGGTCGATTATAGTTTGGATATTTTCTGGATTTCTTAGTTTTCTATGACAGTAAACTGAATATCTTCAAGTTTTGGGCAGTTGGATTAAAACAAGGATTTTTTAAAATGTCAGTTTTGGCTGTAGGGAAATTGCATTTTTTTAGTTTTTACTATTTTCAGACATTTTATAGAACAAAAAATTAATTAATTAACAGACAAACTAATCAGCTGATTAATAGATCATAAAAATAATTCCTAATTAAGTTAATTTATGTTTAGCCAAAGAGTCCAAATTGAAAAACAAACAAACACTGAGTCTAATAATGCTTTAATCAGTCTATAATTTACCGAGCATGTGAAAGGTTTCTTTAAATTGTTGTCTGTAGTCCCCCGAGGTAATGTAACCCCTAAAACCTCCCAAAAATTCAGAAGACATTACTCCGTTAGCTGTTAAAGTCCTTGATGGGAATACTTCTGTGTCAAAGGTGCCTGTACCAAAATGCTGTACATATGATTTCATTGTTTTAAACAGGGACTCATAAAGAACTGGTGTTGTTCTTGAGAGCCGTCATATCGAAACGTTCAGAACCACAAACATTTTTGAGACTCAAAAAACAAGACTAACTCCAAACCTCTCAGCTCTATATTTGCAGAATATATCGAGTTATATACCCTGGAGAAAACTTAATGTCCTTCACATAAAGATTAAGAGCAAAGGTGATTGAAAAAAAATACCAAAAAAACTAATAGAAAACAAAAGGGATACTATTGATATTTCTGTAAGAAAGGATATAAAACACTTCATTGGAAAGTAAACAGAAAAATAAATGCTTTTAGGCTGCTTTTAAAAGTAATTGGAGTCCTCAGGGAGCCTAATTCAGCAACTGGGAGCATAATAACATTAGATATATCCTCACAGAGTTTTCGAGACTACAGCAAGAATAAAAGAGATAAATGAGACGTTCTTTTAAGCATATCTTACTTATGGTGCAGCGAGTCCAAGGCAGATCAATAAACCCTAAAGTCAGCACTGGAAGGTAATTTGGTGATTTAAGTACAGGTGTAATGTGCTTTTTTCCCTCTTGGTCCATGTTAAAAATCTGGCTGCAGCATTCTGTTACAAGTCATATGATTAACCTTCTCCAGGTCTGGTTTTAATTAATAGAAAGTATTTTAGAGACAGAGTAGAGATAACTGACCCAATGTTGTCTAAATGACAATGGATGTACAGAACCTGGACAAAAGTAAAAACAACTCTCACTTAACTCCATTGCAGACTGTTCGCGCCTTCTGTGTGAGGAACTGGAGGATTTGGAAACAAAGATTTACCAAGGGAGGAAGAGGAGGCAGAGGGAAGGAGAGGAGGACGACGTGTTTAATCGGAGCGAGGATGAAGAGGCCGGAGAGGAGGCAGACCGAGAAGAGGGGGATGAGGAGAAAGAAAAGAAAGTTGTTGTGTCAGAAACGCAACTGATGGCGACAGAGGGAGAAGAGGAGGATCAGGTGAAGCCAGAGAGTAGGCGTAGAGCGGAGGAGGCACAGGAGGTGCAGATGGAAGACAACAAGATTGAGAACATCAAAGAAACAATCGCTGATAAGCCAGAGGACAAAGAAACTAAAAGTCTAGAGGAGAGAGACGAGAAGAAAAAGAGTAGGAAGAGGCGAGGTAAGAAGCAAAGTGAGCGAGTGAGAAACAGGAAAAGTTTAAAAGAGGTTAGTGAGCGGTTTGAGGAGGAGAAGGAGAGTCAAATGGAGGAGGTGTCAGCGACGAACTCGGAGGAGAGCTTGTCTCTGTCGGAGCCTCCCATTGGACTGATGAACAGCTGTGACCTGTCTGATCCGGTCTTCCTGGGTTGTGGGGGGGCAGGGCTGTTTTGCCCTCCGGCCCCTCTTCCCCTGCTGTACTCCTCACTGCCTCCAGTCTCCATCCAACCTGCACCTCCTCAGCCTCACGGGACAAAAAGGCCCCACAGCCCTCTTCTACCTCACAGTCTCCACCAGCAGGGCCCACAGCCGCTCGAGGTGAGAATAGACGGTCACGGTTTATCAATCACTGTGAACTTATAGTGATCAACATTGTACCTGAACTTGTTTACAGAACCACACGTTCCCCCTTTATTTTCCCTTAACAGAATACTCCACTTAGCTTTGTACTCCTATAGCTTTGTCACAGTGTGAAAGGGTTAAAGTTCTAAGACAAAAACACGTACAACTCCCAGACTGGATAACGCCACGATCAATAACAAGGTAGCCGCGCCCTAAAACATAGCCTGCTTCATGTTCTATTTTACTCTAAATGGACCATAATCTACTAAATGAACATCATGCTGTAATGAAGAAGACTTGAAACTAGTCATTGAGACCATAAACTCATGTTTACAATGTTTACTGAGGGAGTACATCAAGTGAGAAGTGGAGTCATTTTCTTATAGACTTCCATACAATCTCACTTCTTTCTGCAAACAGAGGAGGCTGTTGCCTGGCAGGCACGCGGATAATTCGTGGTTGGGAAGTGTTTAAAATGTTTTGTCCTCCTTATTGATGTACACATGTGCGGTGCAGAATATCAGAAACGCATCTGAATAAGATGCAGTCCAGTACACCACCACTAACTGTAACCTCATTGCTAAAACATATGATGAAATTAATAACTCTATGACCGTGTTAAAAATTATAGGCATCATAAAAGTAGACTTTTTATGAGTTCTATTGGATCACATAAGATTGTACCACTTAGTGTATCACCTTGTAGCAGCTCTTCATTTAGGCTTTAGGATGGTTATATAATAAAATATTCAAACTAAAATGTTTCGTATGGCTGCAGCATTTAATCCAATGGAAATGTTCTGCATGTCTGCTGCTTCATTCTAGACGGGTTTCCCCGATATTCATCCTGACAGATTAGAGAGCTCTGGAAACTTTGTGATGTTTCACTTTAATATAAACTTCTGTGGGTTTGAATTGTTTAACCGCTTCAGCCCAACGGACACGTTTGCAAGATCTCCAGATTTCTAATAATACCTCCTTTTGTCATGTATAATTAGCGTGTAATATGTATGAATCATGCACACCTACAACCTTCTGCAATATTAATGATGCAGCTGCAAAAATAGCAGAGTGGATTTGAATATTTGGCTCGGCGTGTGGTCTAGTGTGACATCAGCGGACGAAAGAGCTTCACTGAAGCACTACAACAAGGACATGTGTCAAACAGTGTCAAATCATTAAAACTGTGAAAATATGTAAGGGGAACATTTTAATATATACAGTTTAATATTATCTGCCAGTATGACTACCTACACGATTATAGATAAATACACATGGACAACACTGAGCAATAGCAAGACATTTCATCTCCCCAGATTTCAAGCCTCAACTTCTTTACTAAATACAATTAATGAGGAAAGCAAACTTAAATCCTAAAATCGCAGCTTGTGAGTGCATCAAGTTGCATGTGGGTGGTTTGGATGCAGCTTTTCTAACCAATGCAGAGAGCGCTGACAAGTAAAATGTAAGTACAGTGGAGCTGAAACAATTGTTAAATGATTGACAGTTGATTAACTGTTTGAGCCTTTTTCCAGCAACACTTTATCCTTCCCAGCTTTACAGGATTTGTTTATTTTCTTACATAAGGGTACATCTTTCGGTTTTAGACAATTTAAGCAATTTGAAGACAATTTTTCTATATTATTCTCACATTTATTACACCAAACAATCAGTTAATTTTGAAAATGCATCCTAACCTGCAGCCCCAGAGAATAGATATGTCACATATGAGAGGACACAGACAAAACCGGAAACTAATTGGTTCTCTTTTGAAGTCGTGAACCAACCTTTACTTCCAGAATATCACTGTTGCATTGCTTTCTGTGGGCTGAAACTTCACACTGCACTTCTCGGTGTACCTCAGTTGGCTTTTGGACTTTTTGACATCCTCCAAAATTGTGTTCAGCTTTAAATAAATGTGATTATTGACACTTAACAGGGTGAAAACCATATTTTTTAAAGGAAATATAGTGTAAATGAGACAATATTTGACTGAAATGAGTAAATGTTTATCTGGTTCACGGCAGATGGAGATAACCCAGGTCTACTCCACCCGACGCTCCATCCGCTACAGCAGCAGGGGTCAAGGCCGCGCTCTGAGCTTCCCTCTGCTGCCAGGACAAGAAACTGTGGACAGCTGCATGCTTCCCCCTGCACCGAAGAAGAAAACCCGAACGCTCTACAGTACTGGTAACCGAACTGTCAGTTTGTCCAGGTGTGTCCAGATTTGACTATGCAAATAGTTGACCTTCACTTTGTGTGTGTGTGTGTTTGTGTGCAAATGCATATGCGTGCAGATCAGTTAGACCATTTAGAGGCCTTGTTCCAGGAGGACCACTATCCTGACGCAGAGAAGAGGAAAGTCATCGCTGCTTCAGTTGGTGTCACACCTCAAAGGATTATGGTTAGACATTTCCCTGACTGTTTTACATTGCTTACTCGGTGATGTGCCTCCTAGAAGAACGAATAGTTAGCAAACCGGGAATGAAGTCCCCCCCCCCGTCTTGACGTTGACTCCCTTCTTTCACCTCCCCTCTCATCCACTTTCCTTCCATTTCCCTGCACCATCCTCTGTCATGTTTCCTGATATCCATTTCATTGTCTCCCTCTCTGCAACATTCTGTGAACCAGGTCTGGTTTCAGAACCGCCGGGCTAAGTGGAGGAAGGTGGAGCGCTCCATCACAGCAAGGGTTGAACACAGACCGAGTAGAGCTGGATGCAGCAGCAGCAGCAACAGCAGCAGCCCCCCCCATCAGCAGATCAATCCCACACTGGCACCCAACAGGTATTACAGTTATATCCCCCTATAGCCCTCAAATGGTGCAAATTACTTGTATTCAAACATGATTTGATGTATGACGTTATGTTTTTCCTCTTTTTCAGTAATGGAGCTCCTTGTTTTTCCAATCACTTTGCCACTAAGCTGCCCCAGCTCGCCGCTGCAGCACCCTTTTTCCCCAACCTGTCCAACCAGACTCTGCCCTCCTACAGCAACCTGCTGGCCAGCCTCAACAGCCCAGGTTTTGAAATCTTGCATTAACACAATTATTCAAAATGTACTGCTCATTATGAGGTCATTGTGCTCCACGATTACTAATCAAAAGAAGTTTGGTTTCTGAGGAACTATTGCCCTGACTTCTACCTTCACACCAAATCAGCATTTGTGGCAAAAACGGCGGTCTCCCCATTCATTTGAATGTGGGTAGTGCGTTTACCTGGCGGTGGGGGCCATAGGGGCAGCCGGAAAAAAAGCAGCGGCCCGAAATGAAAAGTTTCAACAGAATCAACTTTTGGAGAAACGCAACCCGACGTCAGTCAGCGGTGGCTAATCACGTCACCGGCAAGCCAGAGCTGTATAGCCCAGCAATGAGGGGACAAAAGACGTTAATCTCAGGCCAGTCGCTTGATGTTCATGGGTCATTAGTGACACTCGCACACTGCCGCACAACCCTGCGCCACAACGCCACAACGCCACAACGCATGATTTGTTGTGAATGCAGCCTTGACCGGAGTCAGGGTTGGCTAAATGGTGAAATGTCAAGTAGTAAATGGTACCGTCTCCACAGCTAAAGGTTAAATATTCTTTGCTTAGGAACAATTTTCAGTGAATATTTTTACATAACAAATAGAAGAAAATGAATTACTCACAATTGTGTGTTCAGCATGCTGATATAAAGTCCCAACAATATTTCCCATCTCTGTTTTTGCACAATTAAACTGAAGCAGCGGGAGGTTCGAAATCCGTTTATTATTAATAGGCAAATTAGTGGCTTTATAACACTATAAATTACAGTTAGTAGTTTGAACAACTTTCAGTTGTATTTTCTTTAGAGGAAGCAATAACTTGATGCTGTGAGAGTCTTTAAGAGTTGAGGTTTAAACTCGGTGGACCTTTACCCTGCATGTTGAGATTCTACAATTCCCCAGAAACCAGACCAACGTTTTATCTCCGTGTGTTATCTCCAAGGTCAATCCAGAGTGAGAGATGTGGGCCAGCACCAGCTTTCATCTCAGGGGGGGTTGGCAGAGTACCACCCCCGCTCCATCCACAGCCCTCCCCCCTTGCGTCGAGCCAGTCTCCCCCTTTTCACAACGGCTTACAACCCTGCCAACCCTACTCCGCCTCTCCTCAACAGCCTGGCTCACACCCCACCTCTGTTCCTGGATGCCCTGGAGGGAGGCTCGGCCTTGGCACACCGAGACACCCAGTCTCTGCAGAATGACACCAGGTCAGCTCGATTCACAGCAGACTGTGACATGAATACTAGACGATGATTTGAACAGGGACAACGAGTACTAGAGATGACAGGGGGACAGAGGCTGCAGACAGGAGCAGAGATCCTGTGAGATACTGGGATAATGATGACTTGGATAGCGCCGGTAATAGTGGGGAGTCGGTTTCAGCTGGTCTTAAATATTTGAGAAATCATGCTGAGCGTAATTGCTTTGTTCAACATGTTTTTGTTTGACTACAATTATGTATCGCAGCACTAAAATCCCTCAATGCAAGACGATACAAAAACAAACAATGAATATCAATACATGTTCTACTCCTGCTGTTAAGAGACTTAAAGGGTCAGTTCACACAAATTACAAAATAACTTACTGTCCTTGGAACTACTATCAACAAAAATAATAATAAATTTTTTTTAATTGGTTGACAGTATGTTCTGGAGAGGAACTGAGACATTCTGACTGAAAAACAATGTTCCTTTATATGTTTGAAATATCATTTTTAATACTTCCACTGTATTGGAATGGCAGCAGAAGTCTGCTGTGTTTTCATATCAAATACCTGAAAGACGAATAGGATCTTTATTATACCTAATAGTCAAAGCTAACATGCTAATATTTAGGATGGTAAACAGTACCCAGTGAACATCAGTATGTTAACATTCTCATATTGTGTGTTTTGGCATGCTGATGTTTGCATTTACCTCAAAGCAGGCTGTGCATAAATACAGCTAACTGCTAGCATGACTTAAGACTCACAGATGCAAAGTAGCAGACAGTCTGGCCTCTTATGAAGCTGTTACCGTGTGTGTGTTTTGAGCTGAGTATGACATGAAGCACACATACTCTCTGACGTACCTGCCATATATTTATAGGTGTGTATGTGTGTGTGTGACCAAGTTCTTCTTTGTTCTGTCCTCAGTTCTCTCTTTGACTTTGGGGAGAAGCTGGACTACCTGACCTCAGGCCAGCAGAACAACCCTCTCTCCTACCAGCTGCAGACCTCCTACTCCTCCAGCCAGCCCCAGCACCAACCTCAAGCATCTCTTCCCCGCCTGGCCTACCTCACCCCCTCCCCCTACCTCACCCCCAACCCTCCAGATTCTAACCCTACCTCCTACCTGACCTTTGCCCCCGGAGGAAACTCGAATGGGATGGTGACCTACTCCACCGGAGGCCACGCTTACTTCCAGTCCCAGAGCACCGGGCAAATCCTGCTGCAGTCGGCCGGTCATCACGGTGAGTCTCTTTTTTTTTATGGCGCCACAATCGAGGGTTTGTTTTCAAAGAACCAGATATTTTTTGATGTCGTTATTAATTTTTTTACACTGATGATTCAACTGGAAGCGTTTTCATATCCATCCATGCCTTGGAAGTGCCCAGCTGCTAGTCAGTTTTATTTAT